TCATTTTGGAACAACAAAGAAAAACCAAGCCAAGTAGAAAAACTCCCTGAAGCATAGATGAGCATATAAATGAATTCAACCAGGTTAACATCACAAAATCAAATTTGAAAATAATTTCTCAGTTGTTTAAATATTACAGTAACAAATGCTAGTTTTTAAGGGAGTAGACGTAATAATTGGAACAGAGATTGAGACAATTGACGAAGAAGGTCTCAAGGACCTTCTTGTAATACAAACTTCTCATTTTTTGCATTTCAAACAAGTCTCAGGAATGAAAAGGTCATTTCATATCCAAAGATGTCTATTATTAATTCTAAGATGGAACATCTGTTGATTTCGATCACAGCCAACACTAGTTCACTGAGAAACTGAAAGACCCAGTTGTAGATGTTTATGGAAGCATTCTCATTACCACTTATGCAAAAAGAGAAACGGAGGGTCATGTTGTAACGTTGTAAAATCTTCTAAGAGTAAAAATTTTGAATTTAAATTTTTTATGCAAAAATAGCCACAGTCATTATTTGCTATGTGCTCATAAAAGAGCACTGAATTTATGTCTATGTTGTGTATTTGAAAGAATGGTTCCTAATGTGTACAAGACTAAAAATAACATTTCTTGCAGGAAAAAAAGTCTTCAGAAGGAAAATGTTATTAAAGCCAGATAATTAAGTGAAATGAACTTCAAACATCCAGCATATACTCTTCCAAACCAAAAAAAGGACATATTTTATGTAGCAAAAGGAGAGCCAGGAAAACATAAAAGGTGATTTTGACAACGTAACAGATATATAGAGCATGATAAAAATCTCACATTAGGTCCCACTAAACTAAAACCAAGTCATTATTTCTAACCTAAAGGAAATCAAAGATCTGCCAGAACAACAGAACTTAAAAGACTTTAGAGATCTAGAACAATGATGCCAAACCCAAAAAGAAATGGGGCCCCATACACCATACATAAGGATCCATGCTGGTGCCACATTGACTTAGAAAATCACATATTAACACTATGTCCTAGTGTAGTTTTATTTTGTTAATTATTTCCCAATTACACTTTAATCTGATTCTGGCAGCTCCTGACTGCCTGTTTGACACCTCTGACCTAGTCAATCCCCTTCACTGATTCCTGAAATTAGGAAACTGAGGCACAGAAGCCAAGTGATTCATAGTCACACAATGGCAAGGCTGGAACTAGAATCCACATATTGATGCCTAATTCCGCTACTATACCATGCTGTTTCTAAAAGACCACTTTGGAATAATTTATTTTTTGTAATAATTGCAGCAAAGAAGATCTCAAGTTGTCCACAAACAAAGAAATTGGAGTAGTATTCTAAAATGACAAAAATTTGGAAGCTAATAAATGGGCTCTTCCTTGTTTTCCGGGCTTATTGGTATCTCAGTGGTTCATTCCTGAAATGTTTACTTTTCCCTCAACTAAAAACCTTTTGAGATATATTCTGAAGCAGATTTGCAATCATCATTTATGCTATGAAACCACAAAGACCTATGGCGACAGGAGAAAATATCACCAGGAAGCCCTCTTTGGGATTTTTGGCACATTTCAGAAAAACAACCTAGTAATGATAAATTAGCATGCACATTGTATTTTTCATAAATATTCATAAAATCACCACATATAAATAGTTCTACTGCTCACCCGTAGTCCCCCAAATTAACAGTATATCAGAGTATCAGGAGAGCCTGGTGGGGCACTTTTAAAAGGCAATAGGCCAACAAGTATATCACAAGGATACAAGGGAGGGTGGAGACCCTTACAAGATATTCGTTTTCTTCTGATAAAATCTGGATTGCACCTCTTGAAAGGTGAGGTGGGGAGGTCACACAGTGAGCACCTGGAGCCACAGCAGCCAAGAGTTCCTTGCCCCTCTAGGAGTCCAAACACAATTCAGCCAGAGTTAACAGCACGAGTTCTATGTATGAAACGGTATGCTTTCCTCAGAATTGGAGGGGGGAGGGGAGTTCATTTGGAAAGCACATGTAACTGTTAATGTCGAGTACTGGCACATTAGTCCCGTCGTTCCAAAAGTGTTGAAAGTCCAGATGGTGCCTTTGGAAAGACAAAGGAGGCAGCAAATCTAGGTGGTCTCAAGTATTATTCCTGATGTCATTTCATCTCAGTTCATTCATGGAGCAAACTTGGTAGGCTCCTTTCAAAGAAAAGCCAAATGTGGCCAGGGACCTGTTACAGGTGAATTACGACATATAACATAACAAGGTGCCAAATTATCTCCCAAATTTCTAAAGCAAGGGTTCTTAACCTGGAGTCCATTGACAGATTTTTTTTGGGGGAGGGTGGTACTGAACTGAGAAAGAAACTACAACTTTATTTTCACTAGCCTTTAACCAAAACTGAGAATTTCTTCGAATTATGAATGTAGGGAACAGTATGTAGGGTTCCATAGGTTTCACCAGAAAGCCAACAGGATATGAGCTAAGGAAAAAAAGGTTAAGAACCCCCACTCTAAATGAGTCCACCACCCACCATATACATTTTCCCCTCAAAGAGTATGGTGGCTTCCCATTCAATTAAGGAATTCTCTGAGCAGTCAGACAGTTGGCTCCGAGAGGTGCATTTTTTTCAAAGACTACAACTTTCCTCCTTCAATTTTAATCAGTCAAAAATAAAGGTCTATGTTTGATTGCTCACTCATTTAATAAAACACATTTTAAAAAACAAGAAGCTTAGGAAAAATTAAATGAGATCACTAGATGAAGTCTTGCTCATCATTGTGACAGTGGCAAATGGCATTCTTACGTGGTTTGTGATATATAAGCCCCCATAGAGAGACACTAAAAAAGAGTAAGGGAAAATCACAACTCAAAGTGTAATAGTAGTGACACAAAGACAAGCAAAGGCCCAAGTCTTTCACCAGAGGCATACGAACTCTTTGAAATAGATGTGAGATCTTTAAAAACTTAAACATGGGAAATTAGTTTTGGAAATTGCTGGCAGTTTTCCTCAGACCAAAGCCATACCTTTTCCAAATTGCAGTAAGATGTAAAAACCTGGGATGTAATCCATGCAGTATCTACGGTCTGATACATTTTTTAAAAAATTCTCCAGAAACTGGGAAAAAAAAAAAACCCCAGAAGAGTCATATCTCTTCGTGAGAGAAAAGGAAGGGACACTGGAAAATGAAGGTGATATAAAAATAAAAGCTCTCAATAAAAAATTAATTTTAAGACAACCACCAGCCCCTTCCTCCAAGATTCTGCATTCTTCGGGCTTGCTCTCTGGTGATGAACATTAGGTAGCTGCCTGCCTTTTAATCTAGACAACCTTCAGAAGCAGATAATTTTTCCACTTAAGAAGGTTAGTAACATCCTAAATGTTGTAAATTGTAATTTATAGTCACCAAAAAGTGTTTTGTCACTAAAGAATGTTACTGGCTTTATTTAGAATGGAAAAGTAGCTTCCCCAAACAACCATAATGAAGCAGATGAGCGTGTGGTAGGATCATCATTCAGTTTTTCTTTGTTTTAATCCCCAGCAAATGCTTTATGGCCTTGTATAATGCTATATGTTACATTCACAAGTATTGCATTCTGTCTAATGAAAATCTTCACACATGCTCTACACCCCCTCAACCCTCCCCAAACCCACCTGGTACCAAGAGGTCATCTTCCTGAATCATAAAAACAGTAAGAAAGTCAAGAAACTGCAATCACAATTTTTGTATAAAGGTCTGAGGCACTCTGGAAAAGAACTCATTTTCTTTTAAGGTGAATCCTTTAGTGGTGCCAATTACAACATAAGTTGTCATCACACCACCAAGAATAATGTGCCCATCAGACTGTGATTTTAGGTTTTGCTAGGTCTTCATTGACTTTATTTACTTATTTATTGGGGACGGGCTTGAAGGATTTGAAGGAATAGAGATATCAGGCCTAAAGTGGTAGCTGACGTCACTCTCACAGCTTAAGGAGCAACAATAGTTTACTAGGATCCCTGCCCCGCCAGGGCTGACGGTTCTGAAGGTTCCAGCCCAGTAACCTAGTTAAACCTAAAGGGAGTATCTGTCACCCACACAGAGTACATTACCAGAGGTATGGTAACCAGTGGTTTGTTTCATACTAATACTATGTCCATTCAATTTTACACCAGAGATCCAAACAGCATTTTATTTTTCTTCCTCGTACAAGCTGGGTATGTGTAAGCGACCTGTCTTTTCACATCTTCTCTCCCAGGGTAATCTGTACCCTATGATGGTTCCTAGATAGGCTCAAGAAATAAAGAGGAGAAGACAGGAGTCTGTAAATTTTTTTTTGGTTTAAATTCCAATATAAGGAAGGTCTGAAATAGCAGTATATTGCATCCATCCATTAGGCCCAGCAAAGCTAGCCACCGTTAGTGGACAAGGAGGTTCTGTCATAAGCGGAAAAGACCAGATTCCAAAGTGAACTTGTTGCATGCCCCCACTGGTGTGTCTAAGAGTCTAGGCTGGGAAGCAAGTCACATGGATTGTGGGTTTCCTCAAGCACAGTTACACAGAAGCTGCAAAACATGAGGAAAAAGAAAAATATGGGGCGGGGGGGGGGAGAAAGGAAAAAAATAATGCAAATTCCCTAATTGAGAATTATATCATATTACAGACAGTGGGCCTGTTTCTTACCACATCCTATCCTATATAACCCTTAGACCAGAATCAAAGTCAGACCTAGTCCAAAGTGTTATTAGCAAGCAATCATGTGGGTCTCTGAGATTTAAATATATATATGCACATACATGAATACACTCAAACACACACACATACATATGTACACATATATATATATCTTTTTTTTAAAAATCTGGCGCAAAAAATCTGGCTGAGGTGTCAAGAATTCTCATTTACAAACAACATTCAATTGGAAAGTAGCTGGCACTGAGTGGCCTGTCACAGCAGTGACAGAAGCAACCGTAAGCTGGCTGAAGGTAAGATGTCTAAAAGGCAAATGAGGAAGCAGGGAATGAAGGGTATTGGGAGAGAAGAAAGGAGTAGAGAAAAAATTTTTTTATTCTTCACTGCTTTTTCAGACCCACAACAAGTTCTTGAAGGTACACACACCCAATGCTGTATTCCTCTCTTAGCTATAGACAATGAAAACAAAACAAATGATAAAATACCCTCCTCTATTCTGTACTCTCAATAAAATGCATAGCACAGTCAAAAGGTATGTAGGTATGTCATCTCAGGAGAACTTAAAACTGGGACATGAAGTGAGGACGCACACCATCTAGTGGCCGGGTTAAGATTTCACAGCCAGTGTCCGTGACCAGCAAGGTGTGCTCAAACTGAGCAGATCGCTTCCCATCTCTCGTCACTGCTGTCCAACCATCTGGCCAAGTTTCATCCTGCCATCCACCTTGAAAAGTAAAGAATACAGAACGAGTTGAAAAACATATGTGAGAAGTATTTGTATTTGGCAAGCATAAATTGTCCAGATCAATATATTTATGTGAATGACTCATCAAATACTACTGTGGAATCTTGTCGAGACCTTGCCCCCTTCCCTCTTTAGATTACAAGTTACAAAATAATATTAGGACAATACTTGAAGATTCATGGTCTCACTCGGATGAGAAATCCTCATCAGTCTCTTTAACTATCAATTCCAAAATGATGTCCTCCACTGAATTTTCCCTCCTTTTAGCAAAGGGCTAACCGTCTAATTTGAACTTCATTGAGTGAAAGACTGGAGGGAACAAATTAGAAAGGTGACCAGAAGGAGCCCTAGGTTGATCCACTTAAGAGCAGTCAGTCTCTTCTCCCCTTTGCCCCACTGGTTGAGGGAAATAATCAGACTGAGAGTAGGAAAAAGTCTGTGATTAGTTCAGCTTATGAAGTACCTCTTCGGTTCACCTTTGACTAGCTGGAAGGGAGGATCCTTACAGGGACTGAGTGTCCCAAGAGCAACTAGGTGGTTTTAGCCAAATGATTCTTCAAGGGTGTGTTGGATAAAATGAAACATTACTGAACTTTCACTCCAGTTTAGCGTAGGGTCTGTTTTCCCCCGGTTGTAATTTGTGTAATCTCTCAAACAATGCTTTTCGATCTGCTTTCAGAAGTTCTGGGCAGTTTTCTTATATTATTGCTTACATCCTGATATTTAGGCTATTTGGCTTATCATATTCTTTCGGGAGACTGATGATCCTGAAGTTATTACTGTACATCCTGTCTTCAAGATCAGTTACTTTGGCTTGAATAGAATTTGCGACCCCTCCTTTTCTCTCCTTTCTCTTTCAAAAACACTGTTGCCTTCTGATTTTCTTTTGCTAAAATTTCTTCTACTTCAGAATTTGTGTTCCAAATCTGTAAATCTCTCATTCACTTCTTTAGAAATTTTCTGCCATAAATTCAAATCAGCCAATTCTGATTTTCAATTCTGTGTGGGAGCTCTAAATTTCTGACATATTCATTCATTCCTAACTTTTTTAAAAATGGATTTTATTTGTTTTTTTTTTTTTAACTACTTCAGAGTTTCTTATTGTTCCATGCTTTCTTGGGTTTTTACAGGATTCTTTAATCTTATATTATTGGTTTGCTTTCCTTTCCATTATGGTATTTGTTGTCATATTCCTCTGTTTCATATTTATTTCCTTTCTCTACTTTCAGGATCTTCCCTGTTAACTTGTCTACTTTATGCCAGGGGCTCTTGCTAAGGCTTTTTTCTATCACCATATTTGATATTTCAGCCTTATTTGATATTCCTTGTCACTCACTTTCTGGTCCCACTCCTTTCACTAGGTAAGTACATCCCCAGATACAGCTGCAAGGCTGCTTTAGCCTCCTTGTGCTGGCGGATACAGCCACAGGCTTCATCAGATTGGTTCCATCTACATTAACATCCAGTTTCCTTTCAGGCATGATATAGCTGTCCAGCTTCATGTAATTGGGCAGAATCATCACTGCCATTTCTTAAAAGATGAAGGGGAGGGCAGCTAGGTGTCGCAGTGGATAGAGCACCAGCCCTGAAGTCAGGAGGACCTGAGTTCAAATTCGGCCTCAGACCAAACACTTGATACTTACTAGCTGTGTGACCCTGGACAAGTCACTTAACTCCAATTACAAAAAAAAAAAAAAAAAAGATGAAGGGGATTTGGGGGAGTGCCTTACCTTTTACTAAACTAGATAGGGCATGTGACATTTAAGTAGGCCAAATATTTCTTTATTTATAGTTTGGAAAAAATGATTAAGAACTGCTCCTAGATATTTTTAGTTATTCAGAAAATGGAAGGAGACCATAGAATGCTTGAAGAGACCAGAAATGTAGTCCAGAACCATTCCTGACCATGCTACTGAAGGAGGAGAGACAAGTGAGGAAGTAAGGAGGGAGGGCATATAAGAAAGGGAAGAGAAGATAATTGACTGGCAAGTGCAGAAAAGAAAAAAGAAAGCTAGAGAAAACAAAATGGGATAAAGAGAATAAACAGAGAAAAAGAAATAAGAGGATAAAGAAAGGAAATAAAAGGGCAAGAGAAATAGCTTGGAGAGAAACAAGAGAAAGGGGAAAATAAAGGCAATGTAGGAGAATGGGAGGGGGATAGACAGAATGAATGAGAAGACTGAAAAAAAATCTGTAGCAATAGGCATCTGGTATAATAATCTTTATTTATGAGGTAATTTCCTTTGTAAAAGTTAGGTAATTAAGAAAATTTTGACACATTATTCATTCTGAACAAATCTCAGGTGAAACATTATTTCTAGGCTTCACAAAGATTAAAAATCCAAGAACAGATGAAATAACATATTTCTATTAAACTGTAATCTCAGACTCAAAAGAAAATATGGAGAAGCATTAAGAGAAAGTAATTCATGCTTTGATAAATGTCCAAATGATTGAACAGCTTGGGCTTTTCATTTTAATAACTTTTTCACAGAAAAATCTAAAATAACTTTATTTACATTTATTGTTATTTTAATGAAATGGAATATGTAAAATAATAAACACAGATCTCTTGAGCGTCTGACCGCTTGTCTAGAAATACCCTTTAATTCTGAACACTTGGGTTCTAATGACGTTAATGCTACATCAGAAAAGAGATTGTATGATTTTGTGATTATCTAAACCCCCAAGTCCTATTAGATTGTTTACTCACTCTTGGGAAACACTAAGCATACCTTGCTGACAAAGGCACAGTGCCAGCCTCAGACACCACATATGGACAGGGAAAGATGGGGGCGGGGCAGGCAAAGGCCATGTGGTGCCAGCCCCAACTAGGGTCTCAAGCTTCCCAACTCAATCTCCAAAACACAACGGCTTTAAACCCCAGATCTGACACAGGGCTGCATGTCTGCTCTAAAAACCTCTGCATCATTAGACTGATGTTCCTTGGGAACCTTGCACATACCAGGCCCTTTATCTATGTTTGCAGAAGACTACTGTTTCCTTTTTCTAGCTTTTTAGCTAGCTTTTGCTAAACCTTAGTGAAAGTCTCCAAGCTAAGTATCCACTCCCTAAAGACTTTATAATTTACTCTCCACTCTATATACATATTCAACTTTTATTGGAGTAAGAAAAGCCAAGTCTACTAACAAAATCTATAATCACAACAGAGAGAACTGGCTTTAAACCCAGTAATAAAAACACTTTAGGTTATTCAAGTGTCTTCTTGTACTACCCCAACACATTTAAATAAGGAAAAAATGCCTCTTATTTTCTAACTTCCCTGTAGCATGCTCCCCTCCTGTCAGTCCTAAGATTCCAAAGATGGCGTAAGAAGAATCACAAAGCCGAAACAATCAAATGAGACAGCCAGAATAAGAAGGCAGTGAGAGCTCCTTATCTAATGCAGCCAAAGCAACACAGATGACATGCCTCTCCGTCTTGCCAAATCTTGGGTGAGTTGTGTTGAAGATGTCAGGAAAGGAAAAGGGAATCTCCAGGACAAGGGCTGCTACTTTATGTGACCCAAGAGACCTTCGGCTAAGTCAGGCTATGGAATACCTTTTCAGTGCCCTGCCACCTGACTTCGGAGAGATGCTCCAGAGCACTCTACTTTCTAACTTAGGTACAGAGATGGCATCTTCCAAATGAGCAGCAAACAGGCAGCTGCTGAGAGGGTCAGTGGCTTTACTGCCAGACCCAACCACTGCGGGCTTGATAAGCGTGGGCACTCAGAGGAACTTGGAAGCTAGGCCTACCCAAGAGAGAGAGGTGAACCCAGAGCACCCTGCCAAAACAGGTGTACCCTTTGGAGCCTGTCAACCTTTTTGTTAAATGTTGTATGGAAGGCAAAAGAGTCAAGTTCAGAAGGAATCACAGACAAGCTGGACGGTTTTGAAAGTTCGATGTGGAATTACTGTCTGTATAGGCTATGGTCACAGCTCACTGCCCTTCTTCTCCCACCTTCCCCAAGCAGCTTACGGCCCCATACGGAACAAGGAGACAAGCCCCTTTGGGGTTCAGAACACAGGGTGGAAGGAAATAGGGGAACAGTGTCTGCTGCTCTGATACCATGGCTAAGTAGGCAGCTAGGTCAGATCTGCCTCCTTCACTAAGATACCAAGCAAGACACTACTGACCCTGTTACTGGTATCTACAATGTGAAGGGAGCCCAGGAAGGGGCAAAGCCTCCACTGACCTCCTACAGGGCAGATGCCTTTCATTCCCAAGGCTCCTGCCCCTTACGACACCACGGATGTCACCAACTCTTGCTCAATGCCCTTCAACATGCATCACACATGCACAAAATTCTGCCACGTGTATTCCTGCCTGGTTTCTTAATGGATCTGAACGTGCCTGAATTCTAGCAATTACTAGGGTGACTTCAACAGGAATATATTCTCCCACCTACTGATGTTAACATGTAAGCAGTGACTACTTTCTAACCCAATCTTTCTTCTCTTTTGTTTTTCTAAACAAAACTGAAGAGTGAGATCAGAGTGGAGGGCAAGAAACCAAACAAATCAAGAGACTGGCGGAAACCTGGTTGCAATTTACCAATCAAGAAATCAAAAAGCTAGGGGCAGCTAGATGGTGCAGTGGATAGAGCTCTGGCCTTTGGAGTCAGGAGGACCTGGGTTCAAATACGGCCTTAGACACTTGACACTTACTAGCTGTGTGACCCTGGACAAATCACTTAACCCCAACTGCCTCACCAAAAAGCAAATTAAATAAATGAATAAGTTAACAAATGAATGAATAAATCAAAGAGCTGTCCTCTAATTGAGAACTATTGTATGTTTGTCAATCCTCACCTTCACAGATCATGGGTTCAATTGTAAATACATGACCGGGCTTCATCACTCCAACGGCTTTATTTTCTGAAATAAAAATGTGAAACACAACTGAATGAATCTCAAGATGCGGAAAAAAAGAAAAAGAAAAATAAATTGTTGGGTAATCAGCCTGGGAGGTTGCAAGCTAGGAAGTATGGGAGCAGAAAAAGGTGAACAAGTCAGGGGGCCTAGGTTCCAGGCTTGGTTCTACTACTGACTTGCTCTGTGACCTTGGGCAAGTCATCAGACTTTTCTTCAGCTTCCAAGTCTTCAGGTGCGCATGTAAAAGCCCTTTGAAAACTGTCAAGTGCTCATGCAAATATAAGACAGTAGTATTATTCTTACTTCCCACCCCTGACTTCATCGGAGCAGGAAGACTAAAAGGGGAAACATATATCCCTAACTTCATACATCCAGGGATCATTCATTTACACTTCACAAAAATACTATGGCTGGGAAGGTAAGAATCGGAAGAGGCAGGGCTTGGGGACCAATGGAGGCAGGATGTTCAAGTCACTTATACATCCTGGCTGTGCAATGCCAGGCAAGTCACAACCTCTCAGAGTCCCAGGCAGATCTTAAGAATATGAAGTTTGTGAGCACATGTTGATCTCCATTGGTAGAGGGAATTCCTCACCTACAGAGGTCTGGTTAAGAAAAGAGAAGAAGGAAGGCCACTAGAGGAGGCTGCAGGAGCCCCAGGAAAATCTTGCACACTGCACAGACATCCCTCCTCTGCTTAGGTAAGGAATGGCCTGTGAGCCGCTAGTAGAGAGGCACTTATCATAAATAAGGGTATAATTTTCTTTTCAAGGCCATATCTTTAAATTTGTCCCTGCTGAGTACTGAAAATGCCTTTTGCATCATTAGCTCCTTGAAATGTGAGAAGCTGGTTGATGTTTTGTTGTGGTAAACCACACAAATGGGCCTCACTTTTAAGGAAACCCAATACCCAGGAATCAAGGATCTTGCTTCTCTGATTGGCTTCAGGCTTCCTAACAGAAAGTACAGTGAAGGCTAGGCCCCCCTAGGGGTGGGGGTAGGGATTGGGGAGGAAAAGCTAAACCAGCTCCAGTCTCTTTATTGGATGTTCACACCTGCCATCAGGAAGGCTTCCAGATGGGCTACAAGGTCACAGCAATATGGCAGGTGAGGCAGTGGACCTCACTATTATTCTGCCTAGTATCATTTCCCAATGGTTAGCACAGCCATACCCCTTCCTACTTATCCCATCCCTATGATATTGAACACGAAGAAGACAAGACTTCTCCTTAATCTATTTTGTCTGCTCCCTCATTCCCATTACCCTCATCCCCACCCCAATAATATCCCACTCCAGAAATGCATCCTTACACTAGGCCTCTGCAACTCCTGTTCCATACTTAAGAAGCTTCCTGTGATCTTATACCACTTCATCTCTGGCTCCTGCCACCTTCAGGCTCCCTCCTGACGTTGGCTGCTGTTTCTCTGGCCACTCTTTTAAGTCCTGGGAGCATCTCCACTTCTAAGCTCCAACTTACCGATCCTGGAGGGGGAATCACAATACTCTTTGCTCTCCCTCTCCTACCATCATTCAGCAACTTCTCCTCCCCGGACATTCCTTCAATCTAATTTTTCCCACAATCCAGTCAGAGAACTATTGTTCTCTGACCTAGATATTCTCCCTCCTTTCTTAATGTGTTCACTGCCCGGCTCACAGCCTTCCATTTTGTCCCAACTCATCTCTCATTCTAGGGGACTTCCACACATATGATGGTGTTACCTCATATATCCTAAAGTCCCCAGTTCTTCAATCAACTCAACTCTCATGACCTGCTCTTGTACTCTAACTCAGCTAGACACAAAGACGATAATATCCTTGACCCTGTCATCACCCACAAATTCCATGTTTCAATTCCATGTTCAAGAAATTCCTTTATCTTCTCATAACATTTTTATCTTTCCATCTCTCCCTAGGCTTCACTCCTTCTCAACCTATTCTTCATCCCCAAAGTGACACCCCACCCCCTTCACACCATCTCTCAGGGCAAGCAAGCCACCACTCTTGCTATAACTACATTCTCCTCTTCCTAATCTCGACTCCTTGGTAAATGCTTTCAACTCTACGCTACTCTCTACTCTTGAGTCCATTCTCCTCCCCCCCTTCCCTTATACACTAATCACACCTTGCCAAAATCCCAACCCTGGATTACACACCAGCTGCCTCCTTCCCTCCTATTCATGCGCTACTGAAGCAGGACTACGATCCATTACACATTTCTTCCATTTAGTCTCAACTCTGCCCTCATTGCAAAAAAAGTAATCCTACTATTCCTCCCTGATTAATCCCCTATCCTACTCACAACAGCAGCTACTCCAAGCCTTTTCTTTTTTTCTCAAGTCTCTCACAATTTACTCCATACACTGGGCAGAAGACCTTGCCTCACACGAACTGAAAAAACTGAGGCCAGGGCTGCCTGTTTTCTCCTCCTCTTCCCCTCACACACCCCATTAACTCCTCCTTCACATCTGACTCTGATCATAAGTCAGTCCCGTATCCTTGCCAAGACCATCCTGTCCCATCTTCCACAGCAGACTGCACTGACCTTGCTCTCCAGCCTCTTAAATCTTTACTCTCCATCTACTGGCTCTTTCCTTGCTGCCTACAAACACTGCCAAAGTCCCACCATTTCTTCTCTTCTTGCTCTCTTCTGAACCATTTGCTGCTGAAATAAAACTTCTCTTTCCAGAGTTATCATTATTATTATTATTTGCCAATTACTGCAATTATATGCCAGTTATTATTAACTGCCAAAAACGCCTCTTCTGGATCCTCAATCCTTGACTTCAACATTGTTAACTCCACCACTCTTCCTAGCTACTCTCTCTTCTCTAGAGGTTTTGGTGAAGCTGATTTATCTTTGTTCTCCTCCTGTCTGACTCTTCACAATTTCCTTTGTAGGACTTTCATTCATGTCATGTCCATTAATATGGTGACCCCAAAGGATCTTTTCTAGGTCTGCTCCTTTTCTCTCTGTACTCTCTCATTTGGTGACCTCATCAGAGATCTTCAGTTCATCACCACTATACAGATGACCCCCACACATCTATTTATCCAGTGCTAGTCTCTCTCCTGACTTCCTGTCACATACTGCCAAGAGCTTTTTGGGCATTTCAAATTAGATGATCCAGAGGCATCTCAAACTCAATATGTGAGGCAGCTAGGTGGTTCAGTGGATAAACCACTGGGCCTGGAGTCAAGGACACAAGTGGGGATACCTTGCACAAGTCATTTAGCCTGTTTGTTTCAGTTTCCTTGACTGTAAAATGGGGATAATAATAGTGCCTGCCTCCCAAGGTTGTCATAAGACTCAGATGAGATAATATTCATAAAGTACGTGTAGCACAGTGCCTAGCACATAGTAGGCCCTATATAAATACTAGCTATTATGTCCCAAACAGAACTCACCACCTTTCCTCTTCATACCTTCCCCTCTTCCAAAGTTCCCTATTACTATAGAGGGCAGCCCATCCTTCCAATTACCAAGGTCTGAAATCTGCGTTACCCTCACCTCCTTTGTTTCACACTCACCCAACATATCCAATCAGTAGTGCTGTCTTGTCTGTGCTGTCTCTTGTCACATTCTGTATCCCTTCTCTCCATCACAGTCACCACCCTACAACTCTAATTCAGGCCCTCACTGCCTCTTACCTGGACTACTGCCACAGCCTCTTATTTGATCTTCCTGCCTCGAGTCTCTACCCACTCCAAACATCCTCTATTTGACGCCAAAGTGACTTTCCTAAAGTGTGGACTGCATCCACAGCTAAGACACTCCATATAAACTCAACCTATCACATGCATTTAAAGCTTTTCATAACCTCTCCCTACCTTTCCAGTCTTCTGACATTCTACTTCCTTCCATGCATTCTATAATACAGCCACATGCTGGGAACCTTCTTTCCCAGCCTCCAACTCCCTAGATCCACCACACTCTCCAAGAGGTCTTTCCTAGTCCCTCAGCTGCCTGCATGTACAATTCTAAGGCTACTTTCTTAGCTCCTTTAAGCTTACTTTTCACCTACTCTGTAATTATTTTGTACATACTCATTCATATAAATTGTTTTCAACAAGCAGATGTAAATTCTTTAAAGGTATGGACTTTTTGCCTTTTTTTTTTCCTTTGTATTCCTAGCAGATGCTGGGCACAATGGATATAGTACATACTCAATAAATGCTCTGATTAATTTTTTTCTTAAGTGTTGGAAAGAACCTCAGGGAGTATGGAGTCTGACCATAATCCTTTATAGTTAAGTAAACTGGTCCATAAGGTGCCCTGCTCAATTCTAAGTCTCTGCACATGTGGTTTTTCCCACTTGCACCACCCTCTCACCCATCTCAAATTCCAATATCCTTCAGGGCTCAAATTCCCTATCTTCTAAATCTTCCCAGCCTATTTCTGACCCTGATCATCTCCCTGTTGTCTAACTTCCTACAGAGGACAATAAAATCAGAAGTCTAAACAGAAGGGACCCCCAAAGCCTCCTTCTTTTACAGATGAGGAAAGTGAGGCTTGGGGAACTGACTACGCACCTGATATATTCTCTCCTCCTCTTGGGGTATATCCCTAACTTCATTTTACCAGCCTTACATTATACTGCACAGTATTTTAATTTTACAAAGCACTTTTCCAAGTTCTTTAATAAACATCAAAAATATATATTTAAAATTTAAGCTGTTTCACTTTGTTGTCTTAATCATTTTCTAATAAACTACCCCCCCAATTATCCCTACCCTTCAGAGTATTCCCCTGAAAACAAAGAGAAAAGGGGTTACAAAAACCTGTACAACATGATAATTGGGACTGATAGCACATGCAGCATTCTGTTCACCATCTCCTAACACAAAGAAGACTGTGTGTTCCAACATCAGCTATCTGGAGCCAACAATGGCCACTGTGTCCAACCTGAATTGTTAGTTTTGGGCATTCAAAACACAGAAATCCAATAAACTTGTTAAAGATTTTTTTTCATGAAAAATTATGCTTATATAGGATGAACTTAGAAAAGTTTTTTTTGTTTTAAAGTAAAATGTATTCTCTCTTAGGTCAACTAATCACAGGGAGCTATATGACGGTGACTGCTCAGTAACCGGTGGGAAAGAGACTCAAGTTAAGTCTGTTTCTAATATCTCACTGTGCTAAGTGTGTGATAAGTAAGTGGGTGGGGGAGAACCTTGGTTCTCAAAGGCTACCATAGTAAAGCAAAAAAGGTTGGGTAGCAAAAAAGCTGAAGAATGTCCTTGCATGTCTGTCACTCAAGGACCACCCTTGCTAAATTTCAAGAGGTTCATCCCCATCAGAGCTAAAAAAGACTGCCTACCAACAAAATGACTGAACCCTTAAACTAAAAAGAAAAGGATTGTCCTGGCCCCAAACGTGTCTAAGAATTGTGAGGTTTATGCTTAATGTGCCCAAAGCAAAGTGCTATGAACTCATGCTGCAAGCCTGGAGAATAGAGGTGCCACTCAACCACTGGAGCTTGTGTGCACTGACTTTCTGTCTCGGGCAGTACACAGTAAGAACACGAGTTTTTCTAAATTCCACAGTCTACAGTCTCAAAGAACACCCAACCAGGAACCAGAAAGTTCCTTGAGAGCTTTTTCTATTTGTAACCTTGGTGCTTGCTTGGTACACAACAGGTGATTAATAAATTCATTCATTCACTGATTCAAGGTAGCCTCAAAATTTGTTGACTAGATAACCAATACGCTCACAGGTGGTACTCACTGGCATAATGCGGTACATTAGGGGCTGTATGGAAAAGCTTATGGATTCCATGTCCACAGTAGCTTCGAACAACTGAAAAACCATTCGCTTGGGCATGCTTCTGAATGATGTTTCCCAGCTCTCTGTATCGAACTCCAGGCTTCACTGTAAAAGAAATGACATTTTACTAAGAAAAAACTCACAACAGCACACAAAAGGGTCAAAATTAGAGGCACCTCTTATTATCTTGTGAGTAGGAACAGAAAGCCTCAACTCTACATCTATGGAAAGCCCAGTAATCAGTCAGATGCGCCTACTCCAAGCTATCACAGCCCTGCCAGTTCCCCAGATTGACAGGTTTAAGGTCAGAGTCCGCAGCATCCTGAAGGAGGATTTTTTTCAGTCCTTTCATTAACAGCAAATGCTCTACACATCAATGATTCTCAACATTTTTGTTCTCATGATCCCTTCACATGTTTACATTACTAAAAATTATTCAGGACCCCTGCAAAGAGTTCTTGTTTATGTGGATTACATCTAGTCATATTTACTGTATTAGAAATTAAAACATCTTAGTATTATGAAAACAGTTTTGACCTCAAAGACTCCTTGAAAGGATCTCAGAGGGGCAGCTAGGTGGCGCAGTAGATAGAGCACCGGCCCTGGAGTCAGGAGGACCTGAGCTCAAATCTGGCCTGAGACCAGACACTTGACACTTACTAGCTGTGTGACCCTGGGCAAGTCACTTAACCCCAATTGCCTCACTTGAAAAAAGAAAAGGAAGAAAGGATCTCAGGGTTGGCTAGGTGGAAATCACACTTTGAGAATTGCTTATCTACAATGAGGAAGGCAGAAACTAGATTTTCTGACATTGACTGTGGTAGCCTACATCACATTAGGACAAGCTGGAATATAATAAGCAAATTGTCCATTAGCCCCCTTAAAAAATCACTGCTATCTTATGTTTTTATATCACTTTCATTTCCAAATTCCTCAGCATGCCCTTCTAACCAGTGAGTCATCCCTTGCAAAAAAAGAAAAAGGAAAAGCCAAAAATTAATCAACACAGCAAAGCAATGAAATATTTTGCCTGTAGTCCCCAACTTCTGTGAAGAAGGAAAGGAAGTGTATTCTCTCATCTCTTCAGGGACAAGCTAAGTCATTAAAATCACACAGCATTCCCTTGTGTTCTTCCCATGTACACCATTAAACTCATTGTGGATGTTTTCCTCATTGTGCTCACTGTACTTTGCATCAGTTCTTAAGACTTCCTGTGCTGCTCTAAATTGTTCATAATTATCCTTTCTTCCAGTACAGCGATTTTGTTGTTCATTCATTTCAGTCATGTCCAACTCTTCACAACCCCAATTTGGAGTTTTCTTGGCAAAGATACTGAACTGGTTTGCCATTTCCTTCTCCACCTTTGACAGATGAGGAAACTAAGACAGACAGGATTAAGTGACTTGCCCAGGGTCACATTGCCAGTGTCTGAGGCCAGATTTGAACTCAGGAAGATGAATCTTTCTGAATCCAGGCCCACTGCTCTATCCATTGCTCTATCCAGATTTGAACTCAGGAAGATGAATCTTTCTGAATCCAGGCCCAATGCTCCATCCATCGCTCTATCCAGGGCTCTATCCAGACTTGAACTCAGGGAGATGAATCTTTCTGAATCCAGGCCCACTGCTCTATCCATTGTACCACCTAGGTGCCTAGGCATTTAATGAATATTTACTGGATTGGAAACAATGCTGTATCAGTTGGATTTAAGTGTTCTTCTTTGTTCTAAGGAAGGTTTCATCAAGCAAATGTGCATTTGCCAATTGTGAGCTGTGGACAGACAGATAACAGGTCTCAGAGAGTAAGGAGGATCTGGATTCAAATCCTATTTCTGACACATACGGCTATATGACCAGTGAAGCAATCTAAGCTCTACAAGCCTCCAAGCGACTCTTTAAGACTACATATTGAAGAACAGGTACCACTCCACCATGATAATTCTTTACTATCTAAGGAATTCTTTAGCTCAATGAAATCAAGAGTCTGAACCTAAAATTTAAAAGTCAGAGTCAGGATGGTGATAGTTTCACTGAGTACTGTACAATGGCAGAAAACTTCTGGAGTGTTCTGCCTAGTTCTGGGCACCACACTTAAAACCACAGCATGGGCATCCCCTCAATTTCCAATTCGTGGCCACCACAAAAAGAGCTGCTATAAATATTTTTGTATGGACTGAGGCTGAGTCAAATGAGAATAACCAGGAGAACATTGTATATAGTAACAGCCATGTTGTGCGATGACTAACTTTGATAGACTTAGCTCTTCTCAGCAATACAAGGATACACCTCCAAAGGTCTCATGATGGAAACTGCTATCCACATCCAGAGAAAGAACTATGGAGTCTGAATGCAGACTGAAGCATACTATTTTATTTCTTCTGTTTTGTTTCCTCTTCCTGGTGGTTCCTCCTATTGGTTCTAATTCTTCTTTACAACACGACTAATGTGAAAATATGTTTAACAGGAATGTGTATGTAAAGCCTATATCAGATTATGTGCTGTCTTGGGGAGGGAGGGGAAGAAAAATTTTAAACTCACAAGCTTATGGAAGTGGTTGTTGACAAATCAAAAGAAATTAATAAAAAAAATTTTAAAAAAACCCACTGCATGTCTAAAAGTGGATGAAGAGAAGGGTGAAAATTATTGAGAAAACTAGTTTTGTTCAGCCTGAAGACTTGGACAGGACATGACAGCTAACTCCAAATTTTTCAAGCGTTGTTTTGTGAAAAAGGAAATAGAAGGATAATGTGCTTCTTTGCACAGCAGAATGAGGCCCAAGTCAGAGGGAGACAGAATTCATATATCACAGTAAGGAAGAACTTGCTCTCAAAAAAGTATCCAAAAAGACGAAGGGCTGGCTTACAAAGTAAACAGCTCCACAACTAACGCATCTAAGCAGAGATTATAGGTTGGTAACATGAGAGCAAGGAAGAGGTCAAGACACAGCTCCCGTTATCAGGTATCGCTGCCATTAGGCCTCACCTGCATCGATTGCTTGCATGAGACACTCGTAAGTTGTCTGGACCAGCTTTCTTGCACTCTCATCCACTTCTCCCACAAAAAATGTCTCATTCAGGTCCCCATGATAGCCATTTCGATAGATAGTGATATCCACTAAAAGGAAAAAGTCCACAGTTAAACATGTCACATCTGTCCTCTTAGAGCTACAGCTTTGCTTTAGTGACAAAAATCCTTGATGGAAAAGGTAAAGCTTCTACATATTCCAAATAAAGGACGAAGCTGAGAAAGTCACCACCTAGTATAAAATTCTTTGTCCTAAGGCAACAGTATCAAGTGTTTTAAGAAAAAGTCATGCTAGTTGAACTAATCATTTGGACATGACACTGACCAGTCAGTTCACATTTCAGAAAGGGGAATAATTTTCAAGATTCTAATTTTAAAAGTTAGCACTGGAAAAAAGGTGAAAAAATTCTAGGCTAAAAGATAATAATTATACTGTAATATTAAAGTTATCTATGGTCACCATATAAGATATAAGAAGCTTTAAAGTGCCACAATCCAACCACTCTAAAAATAAGGAATTACATTACTAAAATGACTAAAACGTCCATACCCTTTCACCTACAGATCCCCCCCTCCCTTCTTCGCCATGCACAGGGGAACATGTTCTAAAGCAGCTGATGGAGAGATGTGGAAGGCTACCTACCCTACACCCTTAATAAAAACGTTCTCTCTTTTTGGCACTGCATGATTACTTGTTTTTTGGGGGGCTGCCATGACTGAGGTTATAGTTTAGGAATAAGGAATGTAAAAGTAACACTAGGAACTCAAAAAACAAAATGTCAGCAATATTTAAAGCCATGAATTATGAATTCATTGAATGGTGAGGGTTTCCTTAAGGTAAAAGCATGCAAGCAACATGTAAGAAACCATAACAAAATTATTTCTAAAAAGGAACTCCCTTTTACCACACCATTTTAAAAATGGAGCAGCATTAAAGCTAAAGATAAAGAGAAAAAGTCAGGGAAAAAAACTTCCACCTGTATATTCTACACTGGCCTGCCCCACCCCAGATAAGATCTCATTTTTGCGCCAGTGATTTTCTCTGTGGACAAGTCATAATATTCCCTACCGTTAACAATATCACCATCTTGCAAGGGTCTCCTGTCTGGAATTCCATGGCAGATCACTTCATTCACTGAAGTACAACACGACTTAGGAAAATTATAATAATTCAGTGGAGAAGGATAGCAATTTCTTGCAATGCATGCCTATAACATTTAAAAACATATAAAACGAAAACAATTTAGAATGTGAAAAAAAACAAGACACATAATCAGCAATTATTCAGTCATACTATCTAGAGGATTTCAAGGCAACTGTCACTATTCCAATACTTTTGTGCCTTTAGCTCACTCTTGCATTCATTACATCCCAGATTTGAAGCTGGAAGAGGCTGAGCATAGTTCAACTCCCTCATTTCACAGATGAGGAAACTGAGACCCAGAGATGTTCCCTGTGTCACACAGGCAGTAAATGGAAAATCTGAGATTTGAAGCCAGATTCTCTGACTCTATATGCAACATTCTGTGGCACCTCTCTATTCTTGCAAAGTTGTCGAAGGTTGATAACAGAAGACAGAAAAAGCTTTACGGTGCCATGCGTTCATAATCTAACCATTCCAGAAATCTGGAATCATGTTACAGAAGTGACTAAAATGCCAATTACCCTTTCACTCAGAAATTCCACTGCTAGGTACATGCCCCAAGGAGGTCAACGATAAAAAGAAAGACCCTCCATGTAACAAAATATTTATAGTAAAATTATTTCAATAGTAGCAATGAACTAAAAATAAAGTAGATTCTCCTGGAGTGGGGAATGGCTAAACAAATTCTATCATATTAATGTAAAGGAATATTATCAAGTTATATGAAATAACAAAAGTGCTTGTTGATGTCAGTAAATTAATCAATAAATGTTTATTAAGTACCTATTATATGCCAGGCACTAGGGATACAAAAAGAGGCAAAAGACAGACCCTACCCTCAAGTAGCTCACTATCTAATGGGGGAGATGCAAACAAATATATAAAAAGTTAGCTGCATACAGGATAAATAGGAAATAATTAACAGAGGTAAGACACTAAGATTAAAAAGGGTTAGGGAACGTTTCCAATAAAAAACAAACAAAAAACTCTGGGGGGGGCGGAGACACAAATATAACAACAAAAATCTAATTTACATTTTAAAAAACTGACAGGAAATCTTTAAAAGACTTTTATAACCTGATGCAAAGTGATAATACAACAAATCCAGGAAAAAAAATCAACAAGACTACAATATAGATGTTAACAACAACACAAAACTGAATGCTGTGAAATGTAACTGTTGTAATGTATGTAAATGTAAACAGTCGAGATGGGCCCCAAAGGAGGTATGAGAACGTTTCTCTGCTTCTTTGTAAAGCTGGGGAGCTACCGGTGGGGAAGACTACATATAATTTGGGGGTTGGTCCATTTGTCGGCTAGCTTGGCTGAACTCTATTTTTTCTTCTCTGTTAATTGTTGCCGTAAGATGGTTCTGGGAGGGAGTAGAAGGGAAAGAATATCTTAGAAACATAAGCAATACTGAAACATCTATCTATCTATCTATCTATCTATCTATCTATCTATCTATCTATCTATCTATCTAGTTTGATGTCATGAATTTGGAATGTCAGAATCAAAACAAAGCCATCAGGCAGACGATCCTATGGTAATTTTCAGTCTAGAGTAATATTTATGGTGTCTGCCAATCAGATCACACTTGACCTGTACTTACTGAATTTCTCTCCAAGTGGAAATAGTCAGGTTAAGTCATTTAACTATTTAATACAGATGGAAGATCTTTCTACCCACTTCAGATAAATAGAAGCATTAGTTGGGTGGACATATCTACCTATTTTAGAGAAATACAATTGTTAGCTGTGTGACCCTGGGCACATCAGTTAATTTCTCAGTCTCAATTTCCTCATCTATAAAGTGGGATAATGATTAACACACCTATCTCACAGAATTACAGTGAGGATCAAATGACATAATATTTGTAATGTGCTCTGTAAACCCTAAAGTACCATGAGAATGCTAGTCATTATTATATTATTGTTATTTAAAATATGAAGTCTCATCTTTATAAAATTATATCATAGCTCTAGACCTGCAAAGCATGAGCTTAGAGGTGCCAAAGTTGAACCTCCTCATTTTACAGATAAGGAAACCAAGGCCCAAGGTCATAGAGTTAGTAAGTGGCAGAGGTAGGATTCAAACTTAGGGCCCAACTCAGAAAATCTTCCATTTGAAAAGGAGAGAGGGAGTTAACTTGCCCACCCAACTTTTATTTAATTAAAATTTCAAAACTAGAAATAATCTTATACCTTAAAAAAAATTAACAAACTCTGACTCTTTTCTATGATATAGTAGTTACAGAATTACAATGATACAATAAATGAAGCTAAACAGTGAAAAAACCTGCAGTTTCCACAGTGCTCCTTAAGCTAAAGAACTCTCGTCTGCTACGTGTATATCTTATGGGCAGCTGTATTTTTATTTGAGAATGTCCCACTTTGTAATTAACTACAGCATTCTTTATTTAAGATAATGATAAAGGGACGGTTTCTAAGTCTTCAAAACATACAACTGTGAGACATTAATACATCAGCATCTTACTGAACAGTGGGATTCATAGGCGCTTAACGACAACACATGGTCAAAACCTTGTTTTGAATTGGTTCAACTCCCCGACATTTTAAAGACCATATAACTTTCATGTTACATATAATTTAGAATGTAGATAAGAGAAGAAGACAAACTGTAAAGTATAAAAGTAAAGCTAACTTACTAAATGGACAGCGTGGTCTATTTCTTCAGTAGTTACACCTGGTTTAACCATCATGGCGGCAACATCCAACACTTCCCTTGCAAGCTGTGAAGGAGTCAGTGACAGCACATTTAGAATAAGGCAACAGAAACAAAAAATGACATCCTTCTCACTCTGCCTTAGGTTTTGTAAGGAAACGGGAAAATTAATTTTTGTCCTCATAGGGAGGTATTAACTTAAGATTTAATTTCTTTAAAACTTCAATAACCTTTCTGATACTAGTCCAAGTAGTAATCATCCTTCTAAATGAGAAATGGCATTTTAATTACTCTGTGTGTGTGTGTGTGTGTGTGTGTCTGTGTCTTCCTGAAACATAAACTGGTCACTGTAAAGTGGATAATCAAATTTTTAAAAAATTCTATGCCCAGAAAGACGACTAGATATTCTAAATAGCAGTCATCTAAGAAAGTCATATCTTAAGCATGAATAGTACAATATTCCAGTTCTTCCAGCATGTTACACTAAGTATGCATTATTCTACCCTAAAGTTCTGAACACATTAGCTATGAGAAGAGATGATGTAATGCAATATATCCAACTCCTAATATGATTTTTATCCCTCAACAATTCAATTCAACAAATATTTAATTAAGTGCATATGACCAGCAAGGCATGTGCTAGGAGCTAGAAATAGAAAGACAAAAGAAAAAAAATTTCCCCTGCCCTCAAGGAGTTTACATTTGAAAGGTGAATACTATATTTACAGATGTGTAAATTTACTTTGAGAAGGGAGAGATTGATTAATAATAACTAGAGGAATCAGGAAGAATTTCCTGGAGGGAGTAGCACCAGAGATGAGCCTTGAAGGAAGCTAGGAATTTTAAGAGGCCAAAGTCAGGAGGGAGTTCATTCCAGGCATGGGGGGGACAGCTGAAGCAGACTGGCTATTTGGGATGGAACATAAAGTGGGTGAGGGAAGCAATATGAAATAAGTACTGAGAAGTAAAAATTCAAGCTCTGAAGGGTTTTTAAGGCCAGGGTGAAAGTTTGTATTTTACTCCAGAGGCAACAGGCATCCACAGAATATTGTTGGACAAGTGAATGAAATAGTCAGGCTTTCGATTTGGATAGATGGTGAGAGTAATAAGGGTAAACTATGTTGGTGGCTGTTTGACTGAAGAGAAGGGGAGAGGTGAGAAGGCATAGAGAAGCTATGCCTTCTCATAGCTAAAAAGACTTGGCACCTAATTAAATAAGAGGCATGAGTTAAGGATGATTCAGAGATTGAAAATATTGGTGACTGGAAGGATGGTGGGACCCTCAAAAGAAACAGGAAACTGAAAAGCAGAACCATACAGGTGGCGGGCCAGAAGGCAATTCGTGACATCAGACTAGAACTCAGTAAGATCAAGTCTAAATGTATAGACTGATGAAATTAACAAGAGAAGGAATAAACAAAAGTAAAAAGGACCCAGAAAAGAACCTTTGGAGATATCCCTGGTTACACAGCAAGAGATGATAGTCCAGCAGAAGTAACATTCAAAGAGAAGGAAAAATAAGAAATAGCAGTGTCGTGAAAGGGAAAAGGAGAATATGCAGAAAGAAAATGGTCAATAGTACCAAAAGCTGCAGGGAAGTAAAAAAGGATAAGGACTGAGAAAAGGCCACCAGGTTTAGCAATTAAAAAGACTGATAACTTTGGAAAGAGCAAATGGGTCTGAAACCAGATCAGAAAGTCCAACCAAAAAAGCCTTGTCTTTGTTATGCTGATTTAAAATGGTGAGGTATCTTAAGATTTTATCCATTATTTCAAAACATGAAGAATTGGAGGAAACTAGACCATGCCAGATTATCTGCTATTTGTATTTTAAAATGACAAGCTATCTAGTAGGCTAGGGAAGAGCAGATGCATCAAACATTACATGGCATTCCCAATTAATATCTTTTGTCTTGCTGCATTAGGAGCCACAATCTTACAATGCAACTCTTGCTCTTTCAGCTCACTTCCTACATGATTACTTCAACATATCAAAACCAATAAAAAAGGAAAGAAAAATCTTACCCTACACACTAACCGCATGCCTTCTAAATCTTCAGAGGAAAGTATTTTTATTTGAGAAGTACCTTTGAGAGCCTGTTCAGATTCAGACATTCCTAAAAAGAAACATAAAACCAATACAGAACGGGAAGGAGAGCAGACATGTAGTGATTGACACAGCAATGCCACTGATGACATCACAATAAAACCTCATTTATTTAGATGCTACAATCTGGGGAGAAGCTGGATTGGATTTTTCATTCTTTGCATGTGAAAAAGTGGGCTGCCCTCAGCAAGTTAATTATCTAAATGGGATTAAAGCTAGAAATAACCAATAAGCCAATATGTTTTTAGGCATTCGTTAGCCCCAACTATCATGCCCAGCTTTAGTTCAAGTTATTCTCATTAGACCCAAACAACTGTCTTCAGTAGTATTTTAATTAATCTGACTTTGTAAAGTCCTACTATATTTTAAAGCCATCTTTGATGACTTCATGTAACTAATCTTCTTGGTCCACATGTGCACAGATACCAGTACATAATAATTCATTTTTTTAAAAGTTTGCACTCAATCACACAACCATCCAACAGCATTTTCCCACTTTTCTTCAGGAAGGTGTAAGCAAAAGTCTTAAATGATATACGGTTACAGTGTAAAAATTAATGCAACATCACATTTCTAACCCTTACCATAGTAGCAATGCCATTCCACATTTCATTTGCAAAAAGTCAATTCTACTTAAATAAAGTGAATTTATTAAGTTTTTAAAAAAACTTTTCCAGGACAAAAATCAGGATTCTGCCTAGAAAATTAAAGAATCAAATCTTTCTCAGCAAAATTTATTTATAAAGACTGTCTTACCAATTTAAATGTCACCCATCATGTTTTCTAAGAACTGAAAACAGTGGAGAAAAACCCTGTCATTAAACGTTTAGGCGCAATTTTGAAGTAACCAAGAAAGAACTTCTTCCCAAGTCCTAGTCTCTCCTAGTTTAACTGGGACCACTTAGTATCCCAAAGGGACTGCCTGTCCCTGAGTACAAGCACACCTTCTAATACCTGCAGTGAACACAAAAACAATAGAAAGCCACAGCTGCCCTGAGAACAGAAGTCATAGCCCTGCTCATTTGTCGGAGTTGCTAATGCTGATTTGTTTGATCCTGACTTCCTCACACTCTGAACTTGGTCTACCTGGGCTCACAGCACTTCTTGGCTCTTCAGATGGGGTCACTCTGCCCTCACCCCCTTATGTCAACAAGACCCTTCCATTCAACCCACTGTTGGTCTCTGTCATTCCTGTTCAGTGATTCTGGCCCCTCCGTAGGGCCCGGGTCTCATTTGGAGCTCACGCTGTGTACGGTAAAACAAACTATTTCTTTGATAAAGGTTATTCTTAAGGCAGCAAAAAAAATTATATCTATTTTTATTTACATATGATCCTTATTCTCTGGAAATAGTTATCGCTTCCACATCATGAGGGTTAGGGGTATGGCGCCCCTGCGATCTGGAAAATCCACATACAACTTTTTGGCCCTCCCTTCATATCAGAGAAGAAGTCTGAATTTTTTTCTTTTATGGGGTGTTTATAGTACCTTATTGTAAAATATGGGTTAAGTATTTGGTCATAAGCTCTGTGTCATCTGCAGCTTCCGCAAAACTCCCCAAAACTTCCCACTTAATTTCTTATGCCAACCCACAACATATTAAAACCACAATGGGGAAAGTCACAATGTGAAAGGAATAGCTACATTTTAAACGTTGAACTAGAATGCAAGCTCCTTGAGAGCAGGAAATGGTTTGTTTGCTTGTTTTGGAAAGGGGTTTTCTTTGTATCCTTAGAGCTCAGCACAGTGCCTGACACATAGTATGGGCTTAATAAATATTTGCTGGCTGTTTGCTGATTGACAACAGTCTAGAATTTTAAATAATCGAAAACACAGCTGAGGTTTATAGGGTCTAAAGATTGAAGTCCCTTTGGAGTGAACATTCCTAACTTTTTTTCCCCCCAATATGGACCCCTCTTGGCAGTCTGGCAAAGCCTATGGACTCCTCATAATAATGTTTCCTTAAAAAATAAAACAAAAAACAGGATGACAAAGGAAATCAATTATGTTGAAATATAGTTACAAAAAGAAATGGTCACAGCTTCAGGAAAAGAACCCGTGCTTTAGAGATCATCCAATCAAATACCCTCAAATTACTGAAAGAAAACTGAGTGTCACAGAGGTTAGGAGGTTTGTCCAGGTTCACACAAATGCTAAGTATCAGACTTTCTTTTATATCACACTGTCTACTCTATGATGCTGGGTACAAATGTACTAGTTGTACAATCACATTTTTAAACTGAAAGATTTTTCCCAGATCCTGTAATGAGAATTATGAGGAGGAGGGGGAAGTGGAGAGACTAGAAAATGCTGATTTTCAGTTCTTAATTCTAAAATAAAATGGTGCTCTTGTTGCTAACAGGATATATTAAAAGAGATAATTGTGGGGACAAAGTAGCAAAATAATTGTAGGGATAAAGTATTGCCTTAAAAAAAAGAGGAGAACAAAAAAAATCCTAATTCAGGAAAAAAAAATATTAGAAGCGTAAATGGAAGAAAATATAAACTTAACACTCATAACTTTAAATGTGAATGAATTAAACAATCCAATAAAAACAAAGAGAATAACAGACTAAGGAAATAAAACCCCAAAATTTCTAACTTACAAGAAACATATCTAAAAAGCAAACACATACGCAGAATAAAAAGGAGAGGTTAGAACAAAATTTATTCTGCACCAAGCAAATCCAAAAAAGTATAACTTGCAATCATGCTATCAGGCAAAGCAAAAATAAAAATTCATACTATAGAGATAAACAAGGAGTTTATAAAATGAAATAGTGAATTGAATTAGGCGATAAAATTTGCATATTTTTGAGATTAATACGTAAGAAACCACAAGCAAAGTAAATCCCTGTTGTTAGTGGCAGCCACCAAATACACAGACTAAATAAACAGTAAGATATGTAACTGAAATTACCTAAAGGATGATCAGCATAGTCAGGTCTCTGAATATAACTTGGCACCGGTCTAGTTGGCATCTAAAAAACAAAGTACAGAGCAGAAACAAGTTTAAAGTGCAATAAGTATTCATTATTTGAATCAGTCATCACTGAAGAAAAAATAAACCTGTTCATTCCAAAATTTTATTTAATACATCATTATTACTTGGTTATGATGCCAAATTTCTCTTTCTTAATACTGACAATTTAAATTGTAAAGGAAAGAGGGGAATAACAATAATAATAACAACAACAACAATAATAACAATTCTTCATATCATGCTTGGAGACTTGCAAAACATTTTGGGAGCCAAAGGAGTGTTTTTCCTGAAGACCAAAAAAAAAAAAAAAAAAAAAATTGCAGGGAAGAGAAAAAGGAAACACAGGCACATACCAAAAGAGAATTTTATGTGAAATTCCATTTCATATTGCTTCCTTTTTAAAAAAGTAAATAATAAATTCTACACATTACTATGAAAACTGCCCTGCTTGTCCACTGCAAAGCACTTTGCTCACAACAATTTTACAAGTCCTGTCACTCCCATAAGCCTCCAAGTGAGAGGCTGAATGACCTGCCCATGCTCACACCACAAGCAAGTCTGAGGCAGAATTAGGACCCTAGCACCGGCCTACAAGTCCAGTTCTCTAGTTCTTACTCCACACTGCCAAGAAGCAATATTGATAAATACAAAAAGCAGAGACAGAACTCGTGCAAAAAATCTGTCCCCTATCCCTTCAGGATAAGGAAAAGAAAAAAAATTTTATTTTCTCTGGGAATTTGCTGTCTTGTGCCTTTTAAATCCCTCATTATTCTACTGTGTTTGCAAACAAGACAAGACTAATGATAAAACCATCAAGTCCTTTAAAATTAGCATTTCGATAATCATCTGGTTTGTCATAGAAAATGGAATCACTTGAGAAAAACTGAGTAGAAAATGAAAATACTAATATTTAATTTCAAAGTTCCAGCACATCTAACTGTTGTCCAAGGGAAAAAAAAACTATTTTAAGAGATACCATGAAACTATAAAAATAACAAGGTCACTGAATTTTTGTCTTTTTTAATATTTAAAAAACTTACTATTGATGGATGGTTCACAGGGAAGGGGTAGCAGGAAAGACACAGAAATGTAAGTGGTAAAAAGATCAGTAAGTTAATTTAAGAAAGTAGTAAGGCAATCATTGGATTTTTTTCCCTCCTCTTTCAAACATTTAAAAAAAATTCTTTGTTAATAAGGGATGGTCTTCTGTAAGTGGAAGAAGGATACATGGTTTGGAAAACCAAGTAATGTAAAAATGAGAGATATCTGAAAGATATATGTATTTTTAAAATACTAAGACAACTGAAGTAGGCCCCTCAAAAAAACTGAGGGGAAAAAAAAATTGAGGGGAGCACAAGTGTAGGAAGTTAATTCAGTCTTGCAAAATAGAGTTCTGAATTTTTCACTTAACAAGTAATTGTTACTTAAAATTAAAATGTTACTTTATTTACTCACCAGTGGATAATGTGGTCTAAGTTTACCAGTGTATCTATAACCTGACCAAGGATCTGTGTTAATATCCCCTTCCACAGTCCAAGAAGAAACTTCATGTTTCGCTTTTTCATCTTCTAGAAAAAGAAATATTTAAAGAATTTTTAAAGAAATTAAAATATTTAAAGAAAAAGAAATGTTTAAACTAAACATTTAAATATTTAAATATTGTACATTTGAAATACACAAAAATGTAAACACTTCTTTTTAGCGATACAAGCTATCAATAGTAAGGCAAAAAACTTAAGAACCAATAGACACAAAACAAGAAAAACAGAGCAAATCTGTCTACTACATCACTAGCCTGCAGTATCTCCCCTAGACTGGCGGAAATAGCTTCTAATCCCAAGTCGAACTTCTGAAAACAATATTACAATTTTCTCCCCAATGGTTCAATGTAACCAGTTCCCAATAATGTCCCATTATTGCCAAGTATTGTCATGCATGAGTACCACATATATTTGCTTCTATTATTTCAATTTATACCAACCTTATTTTAGAATGTTATTGGGTACCAAGAAATGATGGATGAAGATGCAAAGCAAAATAAGTGTAAATAAAAGCTACATTTTATAATGACTAAATTGAACTCTGAGTAAAGGAAAAATTTATAACAAAGCTTGAAGCACATCAAAACATACCTCTGTCCCAGAAGAAAGGTGAGGAGCCAGTAGAACAGAACACTGATATACTCACTCCCTTCTAGACATGGTTTCTGTATTAGATATTTTTGCTTAATTGTTTCATGTTGTAAGTAGGAATGGTTCAACTCCAGAGGTAGGTGTGGAAAATGAACATGATGTAAAAGCAAGACACCAATAAAATACACATGCAAACACGTATAAGCTTATTTTAAAACTTCAGATTATAAGGCAAAACCTTCCTAACTAATAGATGTAGCAGGTACTTTCCATGAATTCTAGACTGACTAAAAGCTCAGATTCCTAACTTTTCCAAAAAACAAAAACAGAACCAAAGATCTGCCCTAGGTTTATCCAAGTGACTTTCAATATACCCACAACACTGAAAATGTTACTTAGCCATCACTACTGTGCCCTGTTCTCGGAACTGACTGTTCAAATCTATACAAATAGGACAAACAGGGCAGCACAGACAAAAAAATGCAGCAAGCATTTTTGAAGCATCTAATATGTACCAAGTATGTTGTAAGCACAGTGAAAAGAGGGTCCCTGCTCTCAAGGAGCTCAGGGGTCTAATGGCAGAGAGGAAAGATCCTACAAGAACAATTTTGTACAAACACAGGGTAACTGGAGGTCATCTCAGAGGGAAGTCACTAAGATTAAGGAAGACTGAGAAAGTCTTCTTGCAGAAGGTGGGTTTTGCTGTTAAACTGTGTCTAACCTTTGAACCAGCAATACTGCTACTTGATCTGTACCTCAAAGAGATCAAATAAAGAGGAAAGGGGCTTGTAGGTACAAGAATATTTATAGCAGCCCTTTTGGCAAAGAACTGGAAACTAAAGTCCATCAAATGGGGAATGGCTGAACAAGTGAGTTATGGTACGTGAACCTGATGAAATACTACTGTGCTTTAAGAAATGATGAGGGGGATGGTTTCAGAAAAACCTGGGAAGACTTACATGAACTGATGCAGAAGTGAGCAGAAACAGGAGAACAACTGATACAAGTGATAGAAATCTTAAGGCAATCAACCCTGATCAACACAATGACCCTCCACAATTCCAAAGGGCTTATGATGAAACATGCTATCCACTTCCAGATAGAGAGCCAATGTATTCAGAATACAGATGGAAGCATAGTTTTTCTCTTTTTCTTGCTCTTGTTTTTGTTTTTTGAAACATGGCAAATAAAGAAATTTGTTTATTTATTTATATTGTTTATTTGTAATGAGTTTTGTTTTTCTTTTCTTCTTAATGGGTAGGGAAACAGAAGAGGAGGAAGAGAATCTGAAATGGAAAATAAAATAAAGTTGAATTTTTTTTAAAAAAGGAGGTAGGGTTTTGGATGGGACTTGAAGGAAGCCAGGGAAGGCAAGAGGCAGAGATGAGGAGGGAGAGCACAGTGCCAAGTGCTAGTGATACAATGAGTAAAAAGAAAGCCTCTGCCCTCAAGGAGCTTACAATCTAAAGGAGAACACATGACACAAAAGGAGGTAGGAAGGGGGTTGGAGAATGTAGGATATGTAGGAAAGGGTCAGGTTATGAAGAGATTTAAAACGCAAACAGAAGATTTTTGTATTTGATTCTGGAGGTAGCCATCTGGCATTGATTCAGTTAATGGACAGAATTCTGCACTTTAGGAAGATCACTTTGACAGCTGAGTGGAGGATGAATTGGAGTAGGGAAGACTTGTCACAGTGAGACCAACCAACAGGCAACAGCAAAGAACCTCCCCCCCCCCAAAAAACCCAACAGATAAATATGGTGTTAGCTATTAATTCTAAATATTTAGTAGATACCAACATGTAACGACATTCACTCTCTCAAGAAGTACACATTCTGAAACAAACTACAGCAATGTCAAAACACATCAGTCAACCAAAGAGAACTAAAGATGGGAGCAGTTTGAATGGGATGCTTAGGAAACTAGCCAGAGCTCCTTTCCCCCCCTTCCTTAGAGTGACCAGAGAACTACCCCTCTTCCCCTTTCCCATCAAGGATAAATCTCTCTATTCCCATAATGCTCATTCTACTGGGGGTCAGCATATATTTAGAAAATTAAAAAAAAAAAAGAAAATTAAGAACTGATTCAAGATGTGGAATGAGACACAATTTTTCAGACGTGGGCAATGTAGGGATTTGTCTTGCTTGACTATGCATATTTGCTACAAAGGTTTTGCTTTTATGTTTTTCTTTTATATTGAGGAGGAACAAAAAAGTACATGCTTGGTAATTAAAAAACAAAATAAGTTAAGACAAAACAGTTTTGTACCTACACAAGAAAAGCTCAATTTTTCTAATAACTGATGCACTATAAGTTGGTATGGAACACAGAAGGCAAAACTGTAGAACTGAAACATCATCTCATACATTTTTACATACGAAAATCTTGAGGTCAGAAGCAAACTAGTTTGCCAACATAACCCAACTAGTTGATGGCAAAGCTGGGATTAGAACCCAAACGTCTTGAGTACCAGTCCTATACCCTTTACATTCTACCACAGTCTACCTTGGGTTGAAAAGTCCCAGAAGACATATTTTGAGTCTAGAACAATTAAAAGAAACAAAAAAAAGCAAACAATCAACCATGAAGCAATACTGAAAGGACAAAGGTTATTATTAAATTGCATTATACTACTCAATTTATGACCCTCTATTCTAAAAAGAGTTGAAGACAACCACAATGAATATTAAGTGACAACCATCAGACTGTTATTTTTCCCCAAACATGAGCTCTGAACACTATTTGCTGCCAGTAGGGCCAAACCACAGAGGAAAATGAGATGGAAATGCAGACAACTTGGATGCCTGCTTCAATTAAATAACCTGACCCTTTCCTACATTTCCTACATTCTTCCAAAACATGAGCCTCAAGAGTAATTTTTTACCTGAAAGCAAGGACAGAATAACAATAGGATATGGGCTTTCTGCATTTAATATATTCCTGAGTTTAAAAAAAAAAAGTGTAAAAGTTTCCTAGGCTTCCAGCTGGTTCTGCATTTCCACAATCTGTTTCCCAACCCCCCCCCCCCCCCCCCCCCCCCGCCCCGTCCATTTTCAAAGAAATCTACCAACATGCTTGTTAAAAAAAAAAATCTAGCAATCAAAAGCAATCTATATAAGCAAGACTAATGTGTAGCAGGTTCTATTCAGTTTTGGGGGCATTATTCACACTCGGAAATTGATGGTTCCAATGTATTTGCTTACATGCTGTATCATAAAGGCATTCCAGGACAATATGCAAACAGATACAGTTCTGCACCTTCAACGGTCTAGACTGCTAAATCTGAATGAAAATTGGAGTCAATTAACTCCACATTAAAAAGGTCTTTTAATAGAATGGGAGAGGGGGAGGTAGAAAAGGGGGGCCTACCAAGTTAATCTGATGAAATCAGTAAGCTTAAGAAGAGGTAGGTGGGCAAAGAGAATAAAGCACTTGCCCTGGAGTCACAAAGGCCTAAGTGAAAAAACTGCCTCAGGCACTTACTGGCTTGGGGTGGTCTAGGCAAGTCACTTAAAGTCTCTCAGCCTCAGTCTTCTCTTCTGGGGAAAAAAAAAGGATAGCAGTAGCGCCTACTGTGAGGACATGAGATAGCAAGCAAAGTAATTTGCAAATCATACAGTGCTATATAAATACTAATTACTATTTTTGTCTTTGTACATAGTAGGCACTTAATGGCAGCTGGATGGTGCAGTGGATAGAGTGGCAGGCCTAGAAGTCAGGAAGATTCATCTTCCTGAATTCAAATCTGGCCTAATGAGGACTCTTACTAGATGTGTGACCCTGGGCAAATCACTTAACCCTGCTTGCCTCAGTTTCCTCATCTGTAAAATGAGGCAGAGAAGGAAATAGCAAACCACTCCAGTATTTCTGCCAAGAAAATCCCAGATGGGGTCATGTAGAGTCGGACACAAATGAAATGACTGGGGGCAGTGACAGAGCATTGGCCTTGGAGTCAGGAGGACCTGAGTTCAAATCTGTCCTCAGACACATAACACTCACTAGCTCTGTGACTCTGGGCAAGTCACTTAACTCCAACTGCCTCACCAAAAAAAAAAAAAAATTTAAATGACTGAACAACAAAAAGGCATTTAATAAATGCTTATTAAATAACTGAGCAATATCTTTCAAACACGTTATTAGATAAAAATCCTCACTGAGGTTTCTGCTTACTTGAGAGACATAAAAAAAATGGCCAGTTCTTACATATCTAAGAATATCTAGGGGGCAGCTAGGTGGCGCAGTGGATACAGCACTGGCCCTGTATTCAGGAGGACCTGAGTTCAAATCTGACCTCAGACACATGACATTTACTAGCTGTGTAATCCTGGGCAAGTCACTTAACCCCACTGCCTAACCGAAAATAAATAAATAAATAAATAAAATAAAAGAATATCTAGTAATATAAGACTGGAATATGCCTACAATTCTGGGAAAGGTCAAGACAACTTTACCTTAACTCACAATCTTAGGTCTGATCCAAAGCACACCAAATCTATATTCAGATTTTCCCCTTTAAAAGCTCTGAATGAACTGGGTCATTCAGCCCATTAGCCTGGGTTTTCCTGAACAAGAACAATATTGAAAGTCATTTCCTGACATTAAAATGGAATAATAGTGAAACTGAAGCCTTCAGCCCATCAAACACTGTTACTGTTTGGATACCCAGGATCCTAGCTATGGAGTTAGAAGGCACCACAAAGACCATCTGGTCTAACGTCTTTAATTTTACTTCGGAAGCTGAGGACCTGAGGTTAAATGACTTGCCCAAGGCAACACCACCAGTAAATGACACAGATAAAATTTTACTGGGGTCCTCTGAATCTAGAGACCATCATATACAGGATGTTTTGAAAAGGTAGGAGAAATACTTGAAAGGAAGTACAGAAGACTGTTAAAGTACTAAAAAATAAATGCTTTATATTTTTAACAAGACAGTTCTGAATTCTTAAAAAAAAAAAAAAAAAAGCATTCATCCAGTACTTCCTCTTTAAATTTTGAGAGAAGAAAGACACTGAGTATGTCAATGGCATAACTACAGTGTTTTGAAAGAAGACTGTGCATTTGAAATTGGGAGTATGACCTCTGGCAGACTGAGTGAAAATGACATGCTGCCTTAAAGAATTATGAGAGGGCAAAGGGAATGAGGTGACTGATGATGATGATGAAGCTAGTGTTTACAAAACACCTTCTTGTTCTGCAAAGTGCTTTACCAATATTATCCTCACAATAACCCAGAGAGGTAGGTCCTATTAATATTCCTACCTTATAAATGAGGAAAATGAGGCAGGCAATAGTTAAAAATGACTAGCTCAGAGTCACACAGCTGGTAAATGTCTGATGCTGGATTTGAACTCAAGGCCCAGCACTCTATCCACTCTATTCACTGCACCACTAACTGCCTATGCAGGTCTACCATCACACCTCTATCTATATATTTACATTCACTTAGTTATGGGCTTGTGGATGGACTTTTTCTTTGTTGTAGTGCCTAAAAATAGGGAGGAGGCAAAAAGCCAGCTCAGCATTTTCTTGATTCTACATTGGAGGCAGCCTGGCACAGCGTAAAAAACGCTGGCTCTAGAGTCAGACACCTGGGTTCAAATCTCACTACTGGTGCTCATTAATTTGATGACACTGGGCAAGAACTTTAACTTCCCTAAGCTCCAACTGTGTAAATTTTGTAAAATGAGAGGGCTGGAACAGAGAGCCTTGAAGGTCCCTTCCAGCTCTAGATCTTTTATCAGTCAACCAAAAAGCTTTAACTAAGAGTTTTAACACATGGCAGGCACCGCACTGCACTGGGGATACAAAAAGATAATAAAAACAGCTCTGCCGCCAAGAAGCTTTCATAATGGGAGTGGTAACATATCCACGAATTGGCATATGTATGATATGTACTGAATCAATGCATCATCATCTTGGAAAGGAAGCACCAACAGCAGAGCGGGAAGACGGACCATGAAAAGTTTCCTAGAGAAAGCAGCACTCGGGCTGAACCTTGAAAGAAAGCAGGGATTCTAAGATGTGAAGGAGGGCGCTCCAAGCCAGTTCAGCTACCCTGAGCCCCTCAGGTGAAACATGGAGCATCACAGGTGAAGAACAGCAAGTGGGCCACAAGACCCAAGAAAATGGGGAAGGGAACAATGTTTAAGAAGATTAGAAAGACAGATTGGGTCTAGGCTGTGAAGGAGCTTTAAATACCCCACAGAGGAATTTCTATTTGATCCTAGAGGTACTAGAGAGCCAATGAAGCTTACTTAGCAGCGAGGTCCTCAAACCTGCACTTGGGAAAATCTCTTTGGCAGCTAGCCGTGTGGAGGATGGAAAGGGGAGAACGGAAACTTGAAGCAGAGATTGTCGCAATAGTCCAGGCAGGAAGTGATGGAGGGACCAGTGCAAGGGTGCTGATTATAGAAGCAGAGAAGGTATACAAGGGACATTGTGTGGGAAGAAATGACAAGAATTGGTAACTGATTGGAAATGTGGGCTAAATGAGAAAGAGGAGTCTAAGATGACACCCAGGCAGTGAAATGGATTTTACTCAGTGTAATTAGAGAAGCTCTGTCCATTAAAAATAAAACAAAAACAAAGACAAACACAAAACATCTTGTTTCAAGCTGACTACTGAATTCACAAACAGAAGTCAAGGTATATTTTAGCAGCAAACCAAACTTGGTCAGAATCAGCCAATTCTTTCCAAAGTGATCATGGGACAGATGGATATTTTGTCTAATAGGTGTGAAATAATGAGGCTTGAGATGAAACAAAGGCTTCTTGACAACCATCACAACTGTATATACAGACTATGACACCGCCATGGATCCAGCTGGTTTTCCAAAAGTGGTCATGGCTTGTGCTCAATCATCCCCCACTCTTTTTTTTTTAATTTTGTTTTTATTTTTTATTTTTAGGCAATTGGGGTTAAGTGATTTGCCCAGGGTCGCACAGCTAGTGAGTGTCAAGTGTTTGGTCTGAGGCCGGATCTGAACTCCAGTCCTCCTGACTTCAGGACCAGTGCCCTATCCACTGCGCGACCTAGCTGCCCCACATCCCCCATTCTTTTATCCACATCTCCTTGCACTGACTGACACAGCACCTCAGAATGGGAGACTAGAGGGAGAAGCAGTCTACACTGACAGCTGTGGAATCAGCTTACCAGGGTCAGGCTAACTCTCTGTAACTTAGTATCACAATGTCCTGTAAGGGCATTGAACATTGCTAACAATGGATAAGTTCAGATGAAAGACAAACGAAATGAGGCTGGCTAATGATGTCTAATGTTTTCTGCTACACTATGGCTACAAGATATACGTTTTTTCAGTAAAAAAAAAAAAGAAGAAGAAAAGAAAAGAAAAGTTTCAAAAAGGTGGAGTATTACTTTGCTATTGCCCAATGGGTTACACCCATCCATGGTGGGAATAATAAATGGGGCCACCGTTCCAAAGCTGAGGTCTCAAAGTAGGTGCCCACTGCTTGAAGAATGTCTGAACTGTTTCATGGTGTAACAAACACAACTACTCCATGAGAAATAAATATAAAGAATCTTGCATAGACTGAGGCACAGGCAAGTAAACAGAAGCAGAACAGCGGACAACCTGACTACAATAACACAAGAACAATCCTACAGACACCAGGACACTGTCATCTTGACTTCACAAGATGGAGAGTGGGATGTGTACCTATTACTCAGAAGTAGCAGACTAGAGGTGAGGAATGAGACAGACACTGGCACACACGGCCAACGTTTACTTTGTTTAGCTGTATTTCTCTGAAGTGACAGGGATAGAAAAAGATATTTGTTTTAAAAAAAAAATGAGCTGGATGACTGAAAAAAGTGGGGGAGAGAAGCGATCCATCATCACTTGGGTATATAAGTACAGGACTAGGAGTACTTTAAAAAAGAATATCCCACTCCTTATTTTCACAAATCTTTAAGGGAAACAGGGCGGGTCCTTCGACTATACATGGAGGCGACAAACCAAAGTAGTATCGTTAGCAGGCGTGATTTGTGTCTCCAATAGGAATCCCAAACAGCTTTACATCACATATTACATAGATATACGTATCTCAAAACGTTGTTTATGCTTATCATTTAGGAATTACTGAAATTATTAGATTGATCCTGTGGCTGGTCACACTCTTTTCGTCTATACTTGTGTGATGTCACTGGTGATTCCTTGGACTACCAAAGGGGTCCATGACACAAACAAGGTTTTAAGAACCCCTGATAGTAAACTGTATGGTCTGCAAAGCACTGTGTGCACATTACTCATTTTTAAGTAAAGAGCAACACATCCTGCAAGTCTTAGCTCAGAAGCATTATGAAAATAATACTAAGTATATTCCTTTTAGCAAAGCAAGAGATTTTTTTTTCCCTGTGGTGTGAAAACCCAACCCAATTCAACCTAACACCAAGCACCTACTACATGTTAGGCACTCTGCAACGTACTGGGGATCCAAAGACAAAATGAAAATCCAAAGCCCCTGCCCTCAAGGAGCTTACACTCTAGGAGACTGAAATTCTGAATAGAATGCTTATGATAGCAGAAGAGAGATGTGATTTTACTTACTTGCTTTCTTGTGTAGTAACTTGTGAGTGGCCCAGCTTCCCTTAAAACACTCCTAAAATTGCAAATATTATAAAAGTTAGTGTTGTGCCTTCCTTAGTAGAAACATACTGAAATTTTGGGGAATGAGAAGAGCTCTGCTTGCTTACATGGCCTAACAGAACATGAATAATTGTGGCTTTTCTTGGTAAAATCTTAGGGAAAAAAACAAATATTCATGACATCTGTTCAAATATTCACTTCAAAAAGCAGACTAAGCTTAAATCACTGGTAATAACAGTGTTCAAAGAGGTCTAGATCATATTATTGAATACTTTTTAGTATAATTTCATTCTTTTCACATCTCCTTATTTTAAGTACAGTCATTTTTCAAATTATAATAATGGTTTTACGTAACACCAGAGAGAAACAGGTGAATCGTGAAACTTTCATTTAATCTGAAATACAAATGGTTTACAATTTACTTCACCATATTTTTGTACAGACTTTCCTTCAAAGAGCTCAACACCATACAAGTAACTCAAATTGTAGCAAGAGCTTTCACATGAATATAAACAGATATTGCATTTTCAAACACCCAAAGGTCATGAAAAGATCAAAGTTAAGATAACTAACTCAAATCAGTCACCAACTGAGCCATTCGTGAGCACCTCCCACATGCCTGTTAGAGCTGAGACACTGTACTCAGTTCTGGTGATAGAATGTCAAAAATGAAAATGGCCTCTCAAGGAGGCAATACCTTATTGGAGGAAACATAAATGAGGAAAAATAAGAGAGATGAACAGGAAAGAGGAATGATCACACTACTTAATCGATGTTCAGCCCAACTGTATCAGAATACCATCAAGCTGCCTGGAAACCCCATTCTAGGCCTGGCTGTGTCTCTCATTAATAATTAGCTTCATGACTGTGGACAAGTCCCTTGATTCCTTGGGGCCTCAGCTTCCTTTCTTATCTGTAAAACTAAGGATATCACCTGCCCTGTCTCACAGTATTCCTTGGAGAATCAAATGACCGTGATGTGATGGTAAGTGATATATGCTAAACCACTTTGAAAACTATGGTCTATTATTTTAATATTGCTTAATTCAGTTCAACAAACATTTATTAAATACCTACTATGTGGACTGCATTCTGCTAGGAAATGAGAATTTCTTTTGGGTAGTGGGGTTTTATACCCATGATTTCATCTGTACGAAACACAGTGGTGTGTGGAAACTACTACTATAGGTCAACAAAATAACTTTAACATATATAGTGTTAAGAGAGCTGCCAGAGGCAATGAGAAGTCAAGTGGCTTGCCCACTCACACAAAGTCAGTTTGGGTCAGAGGTTAAGACTTGAACTTAGATCTTCATGACTTTAAGGCCTGACCTCTATCCACTATGCCACACTACTAGGGGACAGAGATACAAAGCTTAACAAGCCATTCCCTACATGGAGTTTACAGTACAAATTTCTTACTTGTTTTAAATGTAACAAAAATCAAGAAAAGAAAAAATGAATAAGGCCAATGTGTTGGCTATTTTAGCGTAGAAAAAGTGAAGTGGTCATTCTCAGGGGTATTTGTAGAAGAGGTCCCATATCGAGAGGCAGGTTGAGCTAAACAGATGACTTACTTCTAGGACAAAGAACTTCCTAGGAACTTTCTAGGAGTCTATGATTCCTCAATAAAGATGCTTTTAAAAATATTGGCAGATTTTTAATGACTAAATCTGCTGCTATTTCCTGGTACTGCCTTTTCCCAGGAAATAAAAATGTAAAAAGTAATTGACAAAATCATGTACGCAAAACCAAAAACAACATTCATAAACAGTGCATTTAAGCAAAACAAAGTTATATAATCCAGTTTTTTTTTCTTTACAATAAATTCTCTTTTCTTTCCCCCCTCCCCAAATATTTTTCTCTTTCTCACCTCCATCCAAACACTTCATAAGTGAGGAACTTGTTAACAAAAATGGAAAATACTATTTTAGGCAGGTTAAAATAAGGTTATGCAGTTCTGTTCTCATCTTCCTCTTTGTAGTTTTTCATGAGTTGGAAAAGAAAATCAAGTTTTCCCTGCTTTTTCAACTTCACAATTTACAATAGAGTGCAAGCATTCTTTAAATTTATAACTCAAGTTCTGCTGCTATGAATTAGACAGAGGTAGTTGCTATGAAGTGGCCATCAAAAGAGGAAATAAGGGCTTACTCACAATATGACACTCAGTGACTATGATGGGGCAAGTCATTCAGATCTCAGGGCCTCAGGCAACTCTCCAAGAAAAGAAATTGCATAGAAGGCTTTGGTGAAGGGAGTTGAGAGTTTCCTACATCAATGCAATCACAAGTGCCATCCCTTTCCCTATGATTCTAAATATATTTTAGAATGGTCTCCCTCCATGTACACTAGTAAAAACAGAAATGGGGTGTTCCTGCACAAAATACTGTATGTATTTTAATCTTTCTGAATAATCTATAAAGGGGTACTGGAATGCCATAAGATATGGATGGCACTGATAGTCAAATCAAGAAGAATTTATTAAGTACCTACCACATAACAAACAATGTGCTAGGGATACAAAGAAAGGCAAAAATAGTAGAGTTATATACAGCGTGAGCTCCAGGAGCTCACAGTCTAATGGGGAGACAACATGCAACTATATACAAACAAGACACATATGGATAAGCTGGAAAGAATCTCACATTAGTATTAAGGGAAAGGCATAATCCATAGCTTGTTTGTAATTTAAGTGTAAAACTGTGCTTAAAAGATCATATAGACTGTATCACCTTAAGTAAAACTCCCAAACCCATAGTACATGATGTCATTTTGCTCTTCTTTCACAAAAATCTCACTGTACTCAAAAGGAATTGATTCATAACAAAAAATTTGTCAACAACTTTCTCAGCTATTTCTTGAAAAATAAACCAGGAAAGCACTGACAAATCTAATATAATCTTGAGGCAGTTTACCACCCTTTTCTTTCTCTCTTTTTGGTGAGGCAATTGGGGTTAAATGACTTGTCCAGAGTCACACAGCTGGTGCGTGTTAAGTGTCTGAGGCCGGATTTAAACTCAGGTCCTCTTGACTCCAGGGCCGGTGCTCTATCCACTGCGCCACCTAGCTGCCCCTTACCACTCTTTTCTAATGCTCTTCCAGCACACATAAATATCCTTGCTAAAATGGCCATCTAAATCTGAATACTATGCTCTAGACAGGATTTGATCTAGGCAGAATTCAGGGCTATTAACTTCCTTGTTAATTTCTATGTCTCCTCTTTTAATCCAGTCATGAATCACAACAACAATCTATGTTAACTCACACTGAGCTTGTAGTCCACTAAAAGCCCTAGAACTTCAGGAAGATTGATATCTAAGCATACACAGGTCACAACTAATACCTATGCTGTTCTCTTTTTAAGCCAAGTATGTGACTTCATATGTATTTCTATGAAATTTTCATCTTATTTTATGTGGTCTAATGTTCTAGCCTGTTGAGATCATTTTGGATCCTGATCTGGTCCTCCAAAATGTTAGTGGTTCTTAACTAAGAAATACACTATTTTAAACTTTACAGACAGTCAATCATTATTTATTGATAATCTCAAAGCTGATTCTTAACATCATCTGCCAGTCTGTCACTCTCACTGGGAAGCAGAACGGAAAAGCACAGTTCTGTATGTCATATTGTGTTTTACTGTTTCATCTCTCAGATGAGAGGAAACTGCTTGAGGGCAAAGCAATGACTGTGGCTGCAGGGCATTGTGGTTCCTCAGCTAATTAACAACAATAATAAGTTTATATGGTACTTAAGGTTGGGACACACTGCAAATACTATCTCATGACAACCTTATGAGGTAGATGCTATTACAGTCCCCATTTTATAGATGAGGAAACTGAGGCAGACAGAAGTTCAGTCACTTGCCCAAGGTCAAGAGGCTAGCAAGTGTCAGATTTGTCACACTTGAATTCAGGCAAAGTGCTCAAACCCACGCTATGTGCCTTGTTGGTGAGGTTATAACTCACAAAGTAGTAAATCAAATAACTGGGGATTATAGCAAAATTAAATAAAGACCGCTGATTTCATAACGTCAGGTGGATTTCATGAGTTTTGCCTCAGAACAGAAAGGTCAGTTACTGATCACCAGGAGATTGTTTTTTCACTACTCCAGTGTCTTAAAGCAAACAAAAACAAAGCGGTGACGGAACTGAGATAAGAAGCAATCAGGAGAATCAGCCAAGAACACAACGTTCACATGCTTTGCTGGGGAGCCTGTTGACTGGCTGCATGAGCTCCTTTCACCTCCAGCCTTCCACAGTCAGCTAGAGAGCTTGAGAGCTGCTCCCTTACTGCCCTCTCTGGTTTCAAAGAGAATCAGGAAAAGCTAGGCTTTGCATCTGTTCTTGCTCTAAGAACAGATCTGGAGCTGACTGGACAGCCTGGAATCCTCACGAGTGAGGAGCTGGCTGGGTGGGTCTATACTGCCCAAGGGGCTAACCTGGAGTTTTGCCTTGGGCTCTGCTCGGTTTGGAGCCTGAGCCGAGAGGTGATCCAACAATGTAGTATCCTGTGGTCTATACTATGAAGAGCCAAATTAGGGAGTTTTGCAGTTCCCAGGCTTAAAGGAACAGCATAAACTTAGTAAAGAGTGACTGTGAGGTAAAAGAGCATGTCAGTGATTTGTCCAAAGTGGAGAAGATCTGTCCAGGAGAAGGGTGAGGAAGATCAGTAGGGAAGCAAAGCAGTGACATGGCTTTGTTGTGCTGTGTCTAATTCCAGAAGAGACCAAAGACATCAATACCTGCCATCCAGAGCCGAGAGCCGCTCTGAACACGTGGGTTTTTCTCACTAAAGTAGGTGGCTCTCTGTTAGGTTCCTGTGTGTGCCAGTCCCCTCCACCACTCCCCCCCCCAAAATTAACTGAAACACAAAATAACCACTGGATGAGAGGTGCAAAAAGGGTACGTGAGACTAGAAGGCTTCATAGAGAAGTCAGGATTGGTGTTTTAAAGGATCGATAGGAATTGAAGATGGAGAGTAAGATGAGCCATTCTAGACTCGACTTCTAAT